GCTCGCTGACTTCTGCTGCGGGGACAGCACGGTGTGAGGACACCCCGGGGAGAGAAAAAATATATGCCTAAGAAAAATAAGATAAGGTCACATCCAGCTGTTGTAAGGACTGGATGCTGGTCTTAGTCCTGTTTAGGTTCTGAGCTAGGGCTTCTGGGAGGGTGAAATCCAACACTGGTGCAGGAAGCCCTGAAAACAGCGAGGACTTTACAGCCTGGGAAAAGCAAAGGTCTTGGGGCTCACAGAGCACTTCTTGCAATGGCCAACCATCAGATGGCTGTTCAGGCACCTGCTGGGGCTTCTCTGTGACTGGCAAAGGTGTGTTTGTGTCCACCTGGAGCAGGGATGGGGCCAGCTGAGGAAAGCCCCGGTGGCGGAGGGGAAGTGGGAACCACAGGACACCCGACGCCGCCCATGGGAAGTGACCCTGGTACAGGGAATCGAGGAGGTGCCATCGCCCCACGGCCGGGTACCAGCTGTCGGGAGGTGCAGGTGTGGAGCGGGACATCACGGCTGCCCTGGGGACAGAGCCTGGAGTGGAGAGAGGATGGTGCATGGGGTCCTGCAGGCAGGGGCTGAGCTCTCTGTGCAGGCACGGGTCTGGCTTCTGGTCTGTGCTTGGCAAGAAGGCTGCTCTCCTCCCCAGAAAGCGCTCCGCTTGGTTGGTGTTTCGGAGAACCTGGTGATGTGCAGCACATCGTGAGCATCTCACCAAATAACGGTGGTGTGACCCAGAGCTGTGGGACCCGTGCTGTACCAGAAGAGAGATGACTGTGCTGGAGATGGGCCATTGCTGTCCCCTGCCAGTCCCATGGCACAGTGTCCGGAGAAGCAACATGCCCTACCTGCTCCCAGGACAGCATCCTGAAATAATGCCTGCCTTTATGTCCTTGAGGTCTCTCCTTGGAGCACTCCTGAGGGATGTCCCCAACACCCAGGAGCTTTCCCAGCCAGCCACCTCGAGGAATGCCCCTGAGGAGTGCGTGCCTTCGGAGTTAAGTAGGTTAAGAAAGTCCTTTCTCCAAGGTCTGGATTAGCCACTGCTGCTCCAGGCAAAACAGGCTCAGCAGGGACGCTGCCAGTCAAGTGAGGACTGCAGGCAGGGACTTCAGCTGGAAGGGGATCTGTCCCAACGCGGTGCCATGAAGTAATCCCATGCTCCCCATGCAGGGAAAGGAGATCTTATACCAAGGAGCTTTCCCAGCTCTTCAGAAGATTGCACAGGCTGGGATGAAGAGCAGCAACTCCTGCCCGTGGGCAATGGAGCAGGATGTACGGCCAGGGATGAGGCAAGATGTATCCTCCTAGCAGGAAAGATGGAGGTGTCTTCTACATTAATTCAAGTGCTTTGCCATGTCACATACACAGGGCTTCAGGGTCTGCCTGCTGCTTTCTTTTCAAGGCCATTGCTCTCACTGCCAGGCCACAGTGTGATGACAAACCTCACTCAGACCCATGCACCAGACCAAACCAAGAGGTTTTGTGACACTGCACTTGCCCGTGGATGCAGACAGGCTCCAAAGATGGACAGACCCCAGCTGAAGCTGCTGCCACAAGACAAGACGAGGCACCGGGACCCACACTCAGCTGGGAGCGGGCATGGAACACCTTCAGGGATAGCGATGGACACAGGGGACAGCGAGACAGCACAGCTTTCAGGGTCACTTTGCTCCAAACGCGTGCTGGCTCCCACAGACACATCCCTCCAGGATGTCCTGCACAATAGCTCCGCTTCAGCAGCAAAGGGTTTGTGTTGATCTTGCTGTCGCTTTGGGTAGCCGACGGCTTCCTGCGGGCACATATGCTGTGAGCAACATCCGATGGGGAAGGGATGTTGCAGGGAGCTTCACGTTTTCCGTGCTGGGGCCCGCAGGATGAGTAACAAAGGAAAATGGAAGGAGCTGGTGTTTGCGTGTCGGTGTCGCTGCTCAGAGCTGGCCGGTGCATCCTGCATCCCGCCGTGCACCCGCCAACCCAGCGGGAACCCCAGCTCTGCTGCCGACGCTCTCCCGACGGTGCCTTCTCTGTCCCTTACCCACTAAAGTCATTAGGTCTAATTTGTTCTCCCCGCTGTTCCATGCTGGTTGCAGCATGGCTTTACTGGGCCAAGGTTTCTGGGCACAGAGACAAACGAAGGTGTTGGCTTTCGGCCTAGCTGCTTCTTAGCTCTCTGAAGACTTCGCAGATACCTGCATATCAAAGCATGGGATGATGGTTCCCTGCTCTCCCACCTCTCTGGATTTCATACTGCTCTGCTCCTGTGCCATAGGAGAGCACTTGCTCCTCCCAGGCCTCTGAAAGACCCGGAGTTGGTGCTTCGGAACTTTAAACAAGACTCTTTTTTAACAAGGGCGTCAGATGATACTGCTCTCCTACCAGGCAACTCTTCATTAAAACTTTATACTTTAGGAAGCCTTTCACAGAAGACACACTCCAAGCATCCTGCCCGTCGGATGGCAGCAGGCAGGAGCTGTTTAGTAACTCAAAAGGATTTCTAGAGTGAGGAGAGCACCAAGTCCTGAACAACCTCCCAACTGAAGGAGGTGGCGCGCGACCAGATCCCTCTTTGGTGCTGGGATGCTCAGAGCTGAGCCTGGCATTTCCTCCATCTCCCACCACTGGTGGAAGAAGGGTAGAGCTCTGTGGGGCTGCTGTGGGGCACGGTGGGCATCCAGTTTTGGCACAGAGTACTTTGACCAGAGCTCTTGGGCTGCCCTGGCACAGGTGCTCTGCACAGGGCATCCTGGCCAGCTGGCTTCGAGGAGTGTAGAGTTCACACGGGCTGGTTACTCACACTTAGATGATTTTCTTGGGAAGGTTTTCCGTGCACACAGCCTTGGCAAGCCAGTGTAAACCAGGTAAAACACGTTTGCTTCCAAAATAAAGAGCTTTCATGGATCAAAAGAAGAGGAAATTGAAGAGCGGTCAATACTTTGATTCATCCACATTCCCTTCCCGTGACAGTAATTTGCTTTCCCTCTCACGCCGTCCTCCTTCTCTGCTCCGTGCTCCTCTCCTCTGACCAACTGCTGCTCTCCTGGGTCACTGGGCTGCTCCATCTTCCTTCTTCCCTTCTCATCCTTGTGTGTGCTTCAGTCCTGGGTGGGAGCATTGGTTTGGCAGAGGGACTGATACGAGGCCTTTCTCCCCAGCAGCATTTTAAAGCTCCAGTACAGGACAAGGGACATTTACCACAGCGATAAAACCTCTTTTCAGTCCCATAAAATACACCCTGAAGTACAGCAGCCTGTTGGAAATCTACTTGAAGGGTCTCATTAGTAACTCTGGGCTTGCCTTGCTGACTCTTTGACTCCATCACTCCTGGTTTGCCAAAGTCTACCTGGTTTAGCCTTCTGCCAGTCCCGGGGACAGCCTGGGACACTTGTGTTCCTCACAAAAAAGAAGGGACTATCTGGGCTTTATTGCTCATCACTGAACCTTACGAAAGAAATTAGAGGAGCCAAGATGGGCCCCAAACAGGACACCTGCTTCTGAAGAAAAACCACAGGGCATGAAAAATGGGAAGCATTTCCTAAGAGGCCAGAAAGAGAGAGAGGATTTAGCTTTAGTGAGAACATCTTGATTTGCCTAAATATGTGAGTCCCTTATTAAATAACTGTCCTGTTGAATAATAGTGTTCAGCAAAGGGATCAAAACCATGTCATTCTAGATTGTAAATGAGACTTGGGAATTCAGTGGTGAGGGATAAGACGGAAGCCTGAAATGTCCCAGTGGGAGAATGACAAATTTCAGGGGGTACAGAGAGACCCAGCCAGGCCACAGGTACGAGACACAGGGCACGCTGCAGGCAGAGGTCACAGCCTGGTCCCAAAGAGCCAAATGCATCTGAACACCCTTCCTCCTGCCACGGGCACAGCCCCGCTGCCAGGCTCTGGACAAGCAGAAGTGCCACTGCCTGTCCTGCCAGATGGAAACGTGGTGCAGCGCAGGCAGGTTTCACATCCTCCCCAAGGCTGCCGGGTGCCCAGTTAGTTAAAACCAGCAATTTCTCAAAACTGCAGACTTGCAATAGAAACTGAAGTGCCACAATGCACTGGACTGAAGAGAGCAGCGTCCCCGCTGTCCCTGCTGTCCCTGCTGCTGGCCACACAAGTAGCTAAAAGCCACCCCAGGGAGACCTGCCAGCACAAAAGCCCTTTCTTTCCCCTGGGGTGGTTTTCCAGCCCCCTTTCTTAAAGCAGCACCGACCCAGCCCGGGATGTCCCTCGACTCCTCCACTTCCTTTCCGCTCTCCCAGCAGCGGCCAGACTGGGGATAATGAGGGATTCAACCTCTTGAGCAAAAGCCAGTAACAGTCCAACCACCGAATCCTTCCAAGCATCACGGAGATGAACCCTGACCCGAACTCGTACTTCTACTATTTATTTACTTGCTCTTTTATTTTAAACTAGCGTGTTTCACAGAACTAACACACCACCTCTCTTCACCAAACACTTCCTCCCACCCAGCCCGTGTGTGCCGCCTTCAGCCCCTTCCAACCTCCTGCCCTGAGTGAGGAGTCACCCACATCCACCCCGTGCTCTCATCGCTGTCGGCTGCTGCAAATTACACATTTCTTGCCTGAGGGACCCCAGACACTGCCTAAGGTACAGCTTTCCAAGCGGGGAAAGCTGTGATCTGTATTGCAAAGCCCTGGCATCCTTTTTATGGTGGGACAGCCCACAGTTCAGCATTAATACCTGAGGAACTACAAGCAGATGCCTTAGGGGAGGATTTGGTGACCTCTTTCTGGAGGAGCTGGGAGCCAGGTCCCCGCACAAAGACCATCAGCTCTGAGCTGGAGAGGGCCCTTGCTGAGCAGGAACCCACAGGCTAAATGGGAAGGACTGGGAGTAGGCACTGCTTCAGAGCCTGTGCTGATATGAAATCCATCCTACAGGTGGGACACCTGATCAGAAAGGGCTGGTTAATGTTTAATAAGTCACAAAAACATCCTGTGGCAGAGGGACAGGGCTCTTCCCTCCCATTGGGGCACTCACCGTCCTCCTGGCCGTGCAGGTTCTGCGGGCTGCGCATGCTCTCGTCCTGGCTGGGGCTCAGGCTGGAGTTCAGGTGCTGGTCAGCTGAGATCCATGTGGAGTCGTTCATATCAAAGTCCTCGCTGCTCACCGATGTCTCATCCTGGAAGCAAGCAGGAAAGGGTTAACTCGCTGAGCTATTTTCTTCCCTCCTTTCTCTGGCTTTAACATCTCCTCACTGCACTCCCTCCTAAAAACCATTCGGTGGGCAGCTCTTGCCCCCCAAGAACGCTTGCTGGCCCCTCGAGGCTCCCCAAGGCCACGGTGAGCCCTTCCCTCCGCTGGGCTAGGGACGGCCGGGCTCTGCTTCCTGCCTGAAGACGTGCCTGAGCAATGGCACTGTCTCTAATTGAGGACAATTAGAAAGCGCTCGCATCCTGTAGGAGCGGATGGCTGAGCCCTGGAGTTTACCCTTTAATCTCCATCCACCCCAGCGTGTTTCTGGCGAGGCAGCGGCGGCGTGTGGGAGCTGAGGATGGAGTGCAACTCCATCGAAAGGGCTCTCGGACTCAATTTTGAAATCAAATCATCTGCTGCAACAGGAATCACCCAAGGACTGGCACCAGCAGGGAGCGGCCGGTGGGGCAGATCCAGATAGCGGCGCTGATCCCCATAGAAAGCTCCTGGAGCACAACCCCAAGAGGCAGCTCCTCCAGCTCTCTCTGAAGGGATATTGCCTCCCTGCCCTGATCAAAAATGACAACACACACCTTGGGAAAGGGCCGGGGGAGGGAGGTCCCCGGCAAGGCAAGGACACCCCAGCTCAGGCCAAGGAGCCCGGCCAGCTGCCTGCTCCCCGACGGCATAGATGACATTCCTCTCTCCCACTCCTGCAGCTGAAAGGACATTTTCTCTCTCCCTCTCGCTCCCTTCTCGCTAACCTTTACAGTACTTCGAGACACAGCCCTTGGATGGCTTCCAGCACCGGAAAGGTCAGCCACAGGATTTCAAAACCATCATCATAAAGGCAGCACTGAGATCCTGAATGAGAGGAGGGGCTGTGGGACCTCCCCGGGCTGAACCCTCCGAACATGCAGCTTGGGAGGAAGCAGATACGTGTCCCTGTATTAACACGGTCCTGCTGGCGATCCCTTTATCTGCCTTCCTTTCCCCGCTCCCCTCCCAAAGCAACGGGCAGAAACCGCATCCAGAGCCCTGGGGTGCAGGGGAACACCAAAAATGTTTCCAGAACCGCTTTCAACTGTGCTTTCCTTTGATTGAACCATTTCAAAGGCTTGTAAACTCTCTGGTCTTTTTTTTTTTTTTTTTATTCCCTCCCCCTGGTCCTGAGATAAAATACAATCCCCGCTCCCTTTCCGTGTAAGAAGCAATTGGCAAGCACCCCTCCAACCTACGCCTGCGCCTCATAAAAAACTGCCCTGTCTGGTCGCCGCTGGCTGACAGTTTTTATTGTGAACAAACAAATGTCTTTAAAGACAGGTTTGTGCTTTTTCCTCCCCATTCCTCATCCCTGCAGACACATCTGCTGGCTCGGGGCTCACGCCCGCCCCCAGCCCGCTCCCTCCATGTGCCTCCCGGGGAGTTTCCTGGAATTTACGGCTTGTGAAACCCCGCACGCACCAACGGACAGGCAGGGTTGAGCAGCCCTGTGGACGCCCTGCCAACAGAATGGGGACACCCCGACCCCCAGACCCACCTGTGCTGCCAGCCAGGTGCCCCCATGCAGCCCCCCCAGTGCCCGGGTTGAGCAGAGGTGGGAGGCAGGGGGGAGGCACGGCATCCCCCAGCTCGGCACAGCACCGCTGCCACACCAGCCACAAAGCAACCCTGCCTCCCCAGAAACTCCATCTTGCACGTAGAGGAACAGAACGGCAAAGGTCTCCCTGTTGCAAACTATAAATAGTCTCTTTATTGTAAGCATTTGCAGGGAGGCAGGCCACCCTAATATCTGGCCTTCTTCACAAGGCTTACTCAAGATTACTGTCAGAGCTTAAGAGACAAACACAAATGCCAAGGTCCTTGCTGCCCACAGTCTCTCACCTGTCCGGTGAGGAGGAGGAGCCGCCCTGGGAGCGACCCAGGATGTTTTCGGAAAGCACCTGGCTCAGGCATCCCATCTGCAAGGGCTTAACTGTGGAGGACGCCCAGCCTTGGCACCCAAACAGCAAGGGGGGAGACACCCCGCTCTCCACGCACTCACACGTGGTGGAAAAGTGGTGACATGAAGGATGCCTCGCATGCACACGCTATGTAAAGTGCTTTATAAACGCGTACAATTCTCTCGAGGTGCAATAATATTTGCCTATTATTAGAAATACTCCGGGTATCAAACCAGAAACTGATAAGCTATAAATTACTCAAGTCAAACAAGGCCGTTGCACGTTCACTGGTCCAGCATCCAGCCACCAGCAGAAAGAGCAGGTTCCTACTGCAAGACCTTGCCAGGCAGCTCTGTCCCCATGTACCCACTGTCACCCCCTGCTTTCCAGCCAGAGTTTTTCTGCTTTCCAGCACTAATACCCTTGGCCTAAACAGCAATGGGACAAACTTCCTGACAGCACACAGCTCCCGCAGCACAGCCCATCCCGAGGGAATCTGAAGCCAACTAGGAGGGTGGTGTTGGGCTGAACCCTTCCCAGCAGCAGAGAATGGCCAAAGTCGGCAGTGGGAACTGCCGAGAGAGCATCTGCTGCCTGCTGGCTCTTCCCATGTTGTGGTGCCATGGAGCTCCTCACACGATTGTGCCTCTTCCCTAAAGTAAGAGAAAGGCCCTGACCTCAAGCATAGCTCTGATGTCCCCATCACTGCGGCTCCGGCATCCTCTGCCGCCCCTTGGCTGCATCCCTTACTGCTCGCTGGGACACCAGGAGCCACCAGCAAGCTCCCTCCTCAGGACACCCCTTAGAGACCAAAGGCTGAGCATTGTGACCTCCTCGCACAGCAGTGACTCCTGGCACTGCCCCCCTCATGCCAGGGACAATCCAAGGGATGGGAGGTCCTGGCAGCAACAGCCGGAGCACTGACTGCCCAGCCACGGCCCTGGAGCAGCCCCACTCCAGTCCACTGGAGCGAAGGGATGGCAGCCCAGCACACGTCCTGGTGTCAAAACATGGGACACCAGAGCAGGATCAAAATCTAAGCTCTGGGTTTCCCCTGGATGCCAATAACCTGGCTGAAGGCTGAGCCTCGAAGCGGGCTCCACCATCCAGCCAAACAAGGAAGCGTTTCTCAACGGCAGCAACAGCCACGACTCGGAGCAATACGGTAAATCTAATCTACCCTTCCACCCTCTTTTGGCTTGCAAGTCAGGCAGCTCATTCTTTTTCCTCTCTGGGTCCTCAGGAGAATTCTCTCTGCTAATTTCTTCTTTCCTGTAAACAAACTTCAAATGAAACTTTCATTAGAAAACAGAACGCAATCCATTACCAGCGCCTGTCTCAGGACCGGCCGCCTTTTCCCCAGTTCCACGCCACTCGTGGCACCGATGGAAATGACAGTGGCTGCCCCACAACCAGCCAGCCCAGAGCCAAACCCCGAATCCCTGGCACCTCCGCTGCCGCCCTCCTCCTTCCTGCCTTTCCCAGCTCTCCGGAGAGATCTCGCTCACCCCACAGTAAAGTCCCATCGCTTTGTTTCCAACGTTCAAGAGATTGAGCGATCAAGGGTCAGGCAACGTGCGTGCGGCTCCTCTTCTGCAAGGGGAAGTCGGATCCTGCTGGTGCATTCACAGGCCACACCCAAACATCGGAGCAGGGCTCCCGGCACCGCGCAGGGTTTGGAAAACAACATCCTTGCTCCTCTCCTTATCTACAGTCCAACATTCACAGCTGCTCTGCAGACGCTCTCGCAGCCAGCGCTCTCTAACCGGCAAAAAAGGCAGGCGCTTCCCATGTGCTGGACTCGCGCTCGGCGTTTCTCTCCCACTTTTCCACGCACCCATCTTCCAGCCCCGCGCGTGCACGCCTCCGCTCAGCCTCTCAACTTCCCTCCGAGTTGGAAAAGTATTCTTCCTATTATAGAGCTGGAAACCCCGGGTACTGACAGCCGCCCTGGCCGGTCCAAGAACACAGCGAGTCGCTGGCAGATCCAGGAACACAATCAGCACCTCCAAGTCTTTAACTGCTAGACAGGGTTTCTTCACCAGTGGGTTCTCCTTCCTGGAGAACAACCTTCCATAGCGTGGGCCGGAGCAGGGCAGGGGGGGAAGCTACTCTTATAACCGTGTCTCGTAAATATATGCAAGGCTATCGGTAACCTGCTTATTTTACAGCCAGGCTCAGTTTCTCGGGGACTGCCTTGCAAGTCTCTCTCCAGTCATTTACACGCTGTGCCTCACGCTTAATATTCCAGGCTCTGAGTCTCAGGACAGTTTCTTTTTTTTCTCTTGGAGTCCTTTTATTTTAAAACATGTCCTTTCACGCCACAGCCTACTATCCCGATGGGATTTCCTTCGGCGGAGCAGGAACCGAGGCTGCTGTGTGCCATGCAACCTCCCCAGCACGCAGCCACGCTCAGCTTCCCACCAGAAGCAGCCGTGTTTTTAGAGTCAACAAAAGACAACGCGTGATCACCAGCCCCCAGAGCTGCTCCACCACACCGTGCCAGCCCTGACCTGCCCGGCACAGGCAGCCCCCAGACCTGCCAAACCTGGCCAGGGCAGAGCACCTCCCGCTCTGACCCACGGCAGCGGCACACGGAGCTTGGGGACGAGCTCTCAAGAAGGCAGCAGCCTCATCTCCGTCTCAGCAACTGTTTAAACCCGGCCCTCTGAGCATGCCAAGAAGGTATTGAACCAGATTTGACCCTAACTTAACCAGTTCAGCGCAGAGAAAGGCTTACTAATGGAAGATAAAACACTCCAGGTCAAAGACTGATGCTGCAGCCACAAATACCGTGGTGGTCATCGCTTCAAAGAGCCCGAGAAGCCTTAAAGCAGAAGGGTGTACGCTGGCTGTGGTGGCAGCGAGCTGTGACTGCGCTGCCTACTCGCCTGTGCAATTCACACACCAAACAGAACATCCCCAGCGCTCTTTGTCAGGTCACTTACATCCTTATTTACTGCCATTTCTGCCCATTTCTACGGGACCGGGCGAAATCCCGAGTATTCGTTGGTTTCTCAAAAATGGGCAAAAAGAGTCCATTTAAGAGGCGAACGGCAAATGGAAGAGGAAGGGAGGATCATCACCTCCATCCCTCCTCCCCCTTCTCTAAGAGCTCTTCTGGGAACACACACACACACACACACACCCCCATCAGGAGGAGTGTTCCCACTACCCCAAAGTGGAGGGGTGATGGAGGGTGATGGAGGGATGCTGGGGGGTGCTGGAGGGTGATGGAGGGATGCTGGGGGGTGCTGGAGAGATGCTGGGGGTGATGGAGGGTGATGGGCAACCCCAGCAGCCCCTTCCCACAGCTCCTGCCGTTCAGCGGGGAGGTGCTGAACGTGGGGGCCACCGGGGAGGGACAGGGGGACACCCGGGCGACCCGACACCGTCGTCTGTCCGTCCCCCCCGCGATGCCATGCACCCGCCTCCCCCAGCACCTGAACTTGCTCCCGAGGTGGGGACGGTGCCTCGATGCCCATAAACCGCGCGGGTGTGAAAAGGC